AACATTTAAACATTTGCTTTTGCAGAATAGACCAAACATTGCATAATTGAAACACCCAAAAATAAAAAGGTCAGTACAGTGGTTTTATTTTTATGATTTATTCAGCGCTGAACTCATGCTGAGGCAAGCACCCTCTCTGAGGCGGAACCTGGCACCTTGCATCCAGTACTGCAGTAGTACCTCCATGCGTGCTCCCAGGACCCATTCAACAGCCCCACGTCTGATCTCATATGCGGTTATTGGAAGTTTGTAAAGTAGTAAAAACAATTATTCAAAAATATAAATGATAAAACGCAATAATAGATTATTTTATCATATATTATTATATAAGTGTGCTCTTGAGTGTGCATAGATTCTGTTCTTATCATTTCTTATCAATTCCCAGATAAGAAAACCTTGGTGAGTGTCAGAATGTGCGGAAGTGGGTTTAAAGAAGTAAGAACGGTTGGTAATGAGGCCCTTCTGAAGAATAGCAAAGACCAGTTCTCTATCAGTAACTATATTTACATGCACAAAATATTCCAGTTTTTGCCCTTATTATGAAAAAGATAATACTCCTTCCAAGCTGTTTACATGGCAATTGAAAATGAATATTCAACTAATAAGCATACTCTGATTAATGATGAACTGTGAGTCCTACAGAGGAATTTCCTTTTTCTCCTCTCTCCTTTTCCCTTCCTCTCCCTCTTTTTCACACTGCAGTTATATTGTTCCGTGGAAAAAGAGGAACAGCTGGAGCTGCTTGGTTCATTTTCCCTCTTTGCATCATAAGAGGATATCCAAAAACCTGTTGATATCCATGTCTTTTATGATGTTTAAAACAAACAACTAGCCAACAGTCAGCCTTGCAAACTGTTGGCTAGTTGGTTAGTTAGCTAGCACAGAGCTGACCATAAACAGGCAGGCTGTGTGTCCCAAACTGCAGGAAAAAACCCCAAATGAGAATGTGCATATTCCGAATGTGCTGTATACATGTCCAAAGAATGCTCCTGAAACCTGAACAATATTGGTGTCGTCCACGTCTTAATCCGTAATTGCTTTATTTGGAATAAGGCCTAATTAGGAATATCCAATTGGAATATGCTGTAAATGGCCCTTGTCAAATGCTTAATATTGTTATATTTGTAAAAATAGTGAGAAATCAGCGTGCATAGTCACTTGTGTTTGCAAATATGTTCTCTATTAATGCATTGCACTACCTGGTGTTATTCTGCTGGTTTTAAAATAATGGGATATAGATTAATGCTGAACATTGTGTTAATGAAGTCTTTTTATGACTGACTGGGTTCAACAAACTGATATTGAAATCACCACATTATTATCATTTATTTGATAATAAAATCCTTAAATTGATCAATGTCTGATCCTGGTGTCCTCACACAGTCTTTTTTTTTTCCAGTAGTTATTTGTTCCATTAGATTATCTATGGTTGCTGACATACTGCCCTCAACTTTGAATTTGAGGTCTATATCAACCTTTTGTTGGTCCTAACACAAAACATCTCATATCCCTCCAGTTTAACATCAACATCTTTGTCTTTATTAAAGTCCAGGTCTGTCAGTCTCTGAGGTTGTGTTCACTGGGAGGGGGCTGAGCCCTGTTTGGTTGCATGCTAACAGCAGCTGGAGTACGTCAGAGGGAAAACCAGACAATATTTCCTCCATTAAATATGATCCAGTTTCACCCAAATCACTGATAAGGTTGTGTTTTTATACAATAATCAGTGCCCCAGAAACACTGGTAACTAGCCATTTTGTTGCTAGCTACCTAATTAATGAATCTTCGCACTGTCTTTTACCAAAATGCCTCAAATAATCTTAGACTTTTTACAAAGTTGTGCAATAATCACTGTCAAGTCCCGATATCCAGTCGTTGGTAATATTCATAATGATCCACTTGTTGAGAGGTCTAATATTCTGTCCCATTTCATCAGGAACATTTAGTCATCAGTTTTGCACTTTTGCCTCTTTGCATGTTCCATTCAGTCTTATCAACACTTTACAATTCCTTATCCATGTTGTTTGTATTATATTGTATTGTATTTGTATAACTTGTATTGCTTTTTCAAGATGTGTGTGTTTGTGGCAATATCAGCAATATTATTTTAGTAGGGTGCTCATTCAGGTACACTCCAGGCCTTTTCAATTTTCGGGCCTGCTTTGATAGTTTGCTTTTGGGTTTTCTATTCAGAAACAAATGATGATTGCCTTTGTCTGATGTCTTTACTGTAGATGGCCATGTCTTTACCGTCAAAGAATTGAGTGACCTGTTTTTCTTATGTTTGCGACTCACTCCACCTCACCGACGTTGTCTCCAGACGGAGCCCTGGCACAGGTTCAGTGTGTGGTTTCTAATCTGCTGATGATCGAGTCGTCTATACGAGAATATTGTTCCATATAATCAACTCCCCGTTCCAGGTCTTCGATCCTCTTATCTTTGTCCTTGATTGGGACTTTCAGCTGACGCACCTCTTCCATTAGCTCAAGTAAAATCATAGTTTAGCCACTTATCTCCTCCGATACAAGTTTAAAGATGTTTTGATCTCCTCCATATCCTCCTCTTGTATTGTGGCTGTCAGCTTTTTTTAGGCAGCACTCTAAAGTGAAAATGGGAAGAGGGATAGGTAAAACAGCGGGCTTTGTTTGATCCCAGAGCAGTCAGCCATACTTTAAAGCAGTTTCCCTTTCCCACCAATAGCTTCCTCATTTTTTTTTGCTCCTTTAACTTCCCTTGTACCACCTTGTCCTCCTCCCCCCTCCTCCCCGTGCTCTCTTCCTCCCCTCCTCAGTGAAGGACAGTAGAGGTTACAGAGCAGTGTAGTAGCCTGCAGGCAGAACAGGCTCTCAGGGAAAGGAAGAGGAGGTTGATGCTGCCTGGACATTGAGGTTCCTCTCTCACCAGCTGGGTAGTCACTGAGCCCTTAATAGCCTATTTTACTGTCAACTGCATGCATATTGAGTTTCTGTAGCAAAGCAGGGCGGCCTTGTGGTTAAAAAAATCGACGGGTTGTGTCCACTCACAAAGCAATCATACTTAAGATGGGTTTCCTGTTTACAAACAATCAAGGATGCGCATAGCAGAGTGCTAGAACACTCATAGCCACAGTGTCATGGAAGCTTATATATGGACTTTCAGTAGCCTATTTAATAATAGAGCAAGTTGCTGGAAAACATCAAGAATACTTTCTAGAGGTCAATGTGCATGTGGCACTCATCCTTGCCTTTCCTAATAACACATATTCAAGTAAGAAATGGCAGCTAGTAACAGTGATAACACAGAATACACAAAGTCAGCTCTGTAAGTAGTAAAGAGTAACCCCCTGTAAAAGCACAACGTGTCCTTTTTACTCTTCAGTTTTTTATGGATCAAACAAACAAGATATAACGTGTTCATTAGTGAGCTTTAGAGGCGTTAGTGCATGGATTTTGTCCCCGTCTGACAGAACCAGACTTTTCCAGTCTTTATACTAAGGTAAGCTGGCTTGCTGGCTTCATATTTAGTGGACAGATATTATAGTTGAAGCGATCCTCTCATCTAACTCTCAAGCAAGAAAACAAATAATTGTATTACCCAAAATGTCAAGCTAAGTGTTTTAAAGGACCAGTGTGTAGGATTTAGTGCCATCTGGTGGTGAATCTGCACATTGCACCTACCTGAACTCGGCTGGCTTCTTTATTTGACGACCTAAGAATGAGAACTGGCTGTGAAGTGTGAAGGAGAAACTGCTGTGGCCATGAAACATGCGAAAAATGTGAAAGGCGCTATCTTTTCCCCTAGAAGGTGTGTCCCTCCTGAGCTACTGTAAAAACATGGTGGACTCCATTGAACAATCCCTATATTCAGGTGATTATACATTGATGAATATTTTATTCCATTTATGCCAATAGAGCCTCCTTAATGTTACACACTGGACCTTTAAGGCTAAAACAGTTGACTTGAGTGTGAATGAACTTGTTACTGGAAAACCTGCACTAAGGTTCACACCAGTCAAAAGAAGCCTGACCTAAACAGACCAGCCTGGACAGATGGGCCCTTGGGAGCCAAGAGAACTCTGAGACTGAGGCAGAGAGACATTTGGGGAGAGGCAGAGAGGGGGGGAGGCAGCATGGGGAAGGAGTTGAGGAGCAGTTTAAAAATATGATGTGGAGTTTTGGTGCTTTCCCCACAGGGAATAAAAGATTCAAACTGGGCCAAAGACGGACCACACACACTCACCTACATGTATGCAACACACACAGACACACACACAAACACCAAACTGTAGAATTCAGCCACACTAGAAAGCAGCCCAGGTTAGGCAGACAAGAAGACCATTTCTTATGCAGACAGTTTAGCAGGAAACAGAGGGAGGGAAAGAGACAGAGAGGCTCGACTGAGGCACAGACAGGCAGAGGAACAGCTCATTAAACTGAATGTGAAGGGTTGCAACCGACAGTTTGGGGTATTTTTGTTAGACAGGCCGAATGTATAGACTGTCGCAGGTGTCATTACACAGGTAGTGTCACTGAGAACGGCTGGTGTGGAATTAATGGAGAGCTTTAGTGAAGGAGTAGTGCAACAGTATGCCTTGAAAGTTTAGTTTAGGACTGCATTTCTAATGCTAGAATAAAAACAAAGAAAAAAAGTCTGTGGCTGTAGAGATTCTAATGTCTGCATGTTGCACTGAAATGGGCAGGAAATATTTCTTCAGACCATACCCATCTCCTCTCTCATTCTTTCTTTCCCTGATTACTTCAAAGGCTGCAACTAGGCGAGTGCTTGTGCCTGCAGAGCGTGCAGGAAGAGGCGGAGGACTCATCCGTAACGATGATGTATTTGCATTAATACCGATACTAACCAAGTCTCAAAATGAGAGTTCAGCTAGAGAGTGGAAAGCAAACAGGCAAGCAAAAACGTATGTTGAGTAGATGTTACTTTTTATTTATTACTTGAAGGCTACATGCAACTATTGTTATCTGTAATGTCCAAATGTATGTTGAAATACATGGGACTTGTATGTTTTTTACTGTGGTAACAAATTCAGTATTGATAATCGTGGCATTGGTATTGACTACTACATTTCTGGTAATGTGATATCCTTAATCCTTTATGTTATTTGTTTTATTGGTGATGTTACCTCTTCCACCTGTCCTCCCCATCTGCATTTGTATTTTTCTCCTGTGCATGCACCTGGGCAGCGGGTGTCAGTGTCAGGGCATCCTCACTGGAGTGAAATCTGTGAACCAGTGGTCACAGACCATTAGTCGCACACACTTTCAGACATTAACCTCCATTAGCATCTCTCACTTCTGTAAGCCTATTCTGTGTGCGCACCCATTTGAAAATTACATATATTATGACTCACTGAATTATGCTTGTCATACTTAATATTTTGTGACAGTTTGGTAGTGATCTGTACGGTGAGTGTATGTGTTGAAGCTAAAATAGGAAAGCGATCTCTCTCAGTATACCTCTCTAGCTCTTATTCTAGTCCTTTCTCTATTTTTCACCCTTTCTGGATGAATCACACTTACCCAGTAGATACCTGTGGAGGGCACTTCAGCGAGACATTTTCTCCAAGATGCTGCAGCCTCCATGCATGAGATCATTGTGTGCTGCGACATAAAAAAAAAATCTCTATAAGGAATACATATAAGAGACATATAGTGTCACTTTCAATCAAGTAGGGACCTGTGAAGGGAACAAGGGGGGGCAATGATGTGCATGTTCTCATGTTCAGTGATTAAAAAACAGTCATATTAAGTGCTCTTGCCTCCCATAGCTGTTTCCAGGCAGTAAAAATACATCTAAGGTGATAGTGCAATATGATTTATGAGCTTATGTTTGGAAGAGAACATATGTGAGTTGTGTAAAACACTCCAGCTTTTTTAATTTGTATGAGTTTTAAGGTAAAAAAAAAAAAAAGAGAGAAAGAAGAGAATAAGATCCCATATGGCCAGATGACCCTTTTGGACTGACCGCTCTACAGTGACTTTAAATGGGCCGCCAGTCGTGAGGCTGTCTGACTCTAAATCAGGCATTTGGCAGGGAGGAGGAGGACTAGAAAGATGGAGGAGGAACAAAAGGGGGTCAGAGAAATAGGGGGGGATGAGGAGGCCGAGGGACAGGAAGGCAGTGGGAGGAGGAGGCCGAGGGACACGGCAGGTGAATGAGAAGATATCGAGGAAGAAGAGAGGAAAGTTACATTGGGTGTGAGGAGGAGGATCAGAAGCAGAGAAAATAGGCAGGACATTGGGGAGAAAGAGGCGGGAGATGCTGGCAAGAGGAGATAAAGCAATAGGGAGATGATTGGAGATGAAAATCAGGACAGAGGGATTGCAGGAGGTGGAGAAACAAAAAAGAGACACAAAATTGGCTGGTGGGGAGGAAGGAGGGCCAGCAAAGTGGTTGGATGAAGAGGAGGAGGGAGGGAGACTAAAAGTGATATGCAGGCTTAAAGGAGTTTTTATTGTTGAATAGGCTGATGGTCTGTGGCCTGCTTACTAATGACAAGTTAATGCTTCGCTGACTTTATTATGGAAGGAGAAAGGGTGGAGGGGTGGAGGGGGGTTAAGATGAGGGAGACAGGGCAAAACTGACAAGCTTTGACGGGGGCAAATGGAGAGAGCAGTAAAAAAAGATGGTGGATGGAAAGAGAGCTGCTGTTTAGGCAGTAATAAAAGGTCAGAGACTCAGGGGGCGTGCTGCTGTCTGACAGCAGGACACACAGCAACCTATCAGACAGACAGACAGACAGACAGACAGACAGAAAGAGAGGTGGGGGTAGTAGGCAGACAAAGAGACAGACAGACAGACAGACAGACAGACAGAGGGGGAAATTATTGGTGTGTGTGACAGATCCCAATAGAAACAGCTGATTTTCCACCCTAAAAACTACAACATGGCTAATTATGTGAACAAAGGCAGCAAATGGGTACGTAGCCTAACAATCACCCTCAAGTATCCATTATTTTGAACCCATGGTCCTTTTTCGGCAGGGGTATGGAAACATTCGAGGCTTAGCCCAAACGTAGGGGGGTCCAGGGGCATGCTCCTGCAGGGAGATCTATTTAGAGCAGCTATGCACTATATTTCAAGCCAGTTAAGTTAACAGAAAATCTTTACATTTGGGGGAAAACGTGACAGTTCCTGTGGAGCCTACATCCTGTTTTGAATCTGATTGATGTGCAACAAATGCTGAGGATGACTAATCTTCACTCCTACCACCTAAAAAGAGGCAAAAATTGCCTGATGTTATTATTTTTACGTTACATAACATAGGTAGGGGAGGATTTTGGTGTAAATAGCATTACTAATCATAAACCCTATTTTGTGATCTTCAATACGCTGAATTGAATATTCGGCCAACAGAAGCAGATTTACTTAAATTATATTACATTTCTTTAGGGAATAGCATAGAGTAAACACAACAGACATATATTATTTTCCTACAGTACTTTATTTGATCTACTCCTGGTCACCCTGTTCTCTATTTCTCCTCTTCTTAACTTCTCTCACACTCCCAGCTCCACTCATATATCCCTGGATATTTCCTCAGCGGATTCAAAATGTATCTACCAAAACAAGTCTTAAGTCAATAATATGCAGATAACTCTGATGGCCTCCTTTTGAAATCTAATTTCTAACTATTAACTATTAAGATTCAACCTTTCTGGGAACATGCCTTTGGTTATCCTCATTACACAACACTGGACACAGCCACCTTCTGGAAAATTACTTGTGTTTAAAATGTCTTTTTTTTTTTTCTTTAATAATTGAATTTCTTATCTGATCATTTATGGAATTAATGAGATTTGTATATTTGAGTGTAATATAATGTGAAGTGCAGTTGTATACTACAAAAAAAAGGATAAGTTACTCTAAATTCAGAACTTTATATGGTAGCATGATCAGTTAGACTTTCTAACAGTGGCACAGATGTTGTGTAAACAACCTGTTTACACATGTAGCTGTATTAACCTGTTCATAAGCTAATTATAGCTAAGAATAATAAGTAGCCTAAATGACATGTTTGCTAACTGACAAACAATTAACATTTAAAAACAGCGCCTTAAACTCAGTGTCATTAGCTTGAAACTAAATTCTCAACACAAAGTCTACTTACTTCTAAAGCTTTCAGCCACATCCCATGACCTTCCTCTGGGCAATTTGAGGTACCGTTAATGAAAAGGTTGGTTTCAAACCAGCGACCATAGTGTACAGCGTGAAGAACTTGGCTTCCGGCGCAGGTGGACGCAGCCTTTTGCTTCAGACACAACCTCAACCGCGTGTATTTCTCTTTGACACACTGCCGCCATCTTGTGGACGATATTATGATTCCAGCAGCTCTTCGGCGCGTCCGTTCAGTTTGGACCTAGCAGGTAGCCGTAAGGAGGAGCAAACGTCGCCTTAGCAACGGTAGGGTTTTAGCTCAATGAGTAGCAGCCAGGATTCTCCTAGGGTTGAATTAGTCGCAAAGCAAAGACGCCTTACATTTCTAGTTAAATGACGGAAGCCGTGATGGCTACGAACAGCCCGTCGGTGTTTCTGCTGACAGTGAACGGACAAATAGAGGGAGCGAACGTGAGTAGTGCCTCTGAGCTTTAGCCTGGCCTAGCAGCTCATTTCTCAGCCAGCATTAGCACCGCTCGCGTAGCACTCGTTAACGTTACACCGTGAGTCTGTGTTTGTATTACTTCAGGGTGTAATGGTGATATCTTTGTTATCTTTCAGTTCCCAGAGTATGACAACTTGTACTGCAAATATTGTTTTGTCTACGGTCACGACTGGGCTCCGACCTCGGTGAGTATCTGGCTACTTTACATGAGGGATGATAATGGTTAGTGTCAAATGGTGAATCATTTAATCAGGGATTAAAGTTATTGACTTTGGACAACAGGGTGGAAAATGATGACAATTATTTAATTATAGAATTATAATTGCACTTGTTGTTTTGAAGGTGCATTAAAAGTGGTGCTGTAAGATATGCTGCAGTGCCATTGTCCTGTTCAATAAAGATATATTAAATATTTCCAAAGGGTTGAAAAACACTTTTATTCCATGATGCTCAGATAGTATAGAACTTTTTCCACATGCATGCACTGTTGCAAATGAGATAGTTCAA